GCGTTAAGTTGAAACCATTCAACGTTCGCACTGGTCTCCGCCAAGGCTGCGTCCTGTCCCCTATCCTGTTCGTATTGTACATGGATAGAATAGTCAGGAGCTGCCAAGGCGATGAGGGTATCGGTGTAGGAGATGTGAAGGCGAGAAGGTTGCTGTTTGCAGACGACCTTGTTTTACTAACATCTTCTGAAACTGATGTTCAGTGCTCCTTAGAAAGGTTTGCTGCTGACTGCGACTTGTCCGGCGTGCGTTTGAACGTATCTAAAATGAGAAGCGTAATGCTTTCTCGTTTTCCTGTTCGCTGCTCTCTTGAGATAAATAGAGAAGCAGTAGAATATTGAAATTCTCTTACCTCAGGGTCGTATTTACTGTTGATGGAAAATTTGAGGAGTTCGACTGGCGGACTGAAGTAGCCAGTGGCGTTCTGCGTGAACTAGGCCGATCCGTTGTGACTAAGCCTGAGCTGAGCGGCTTAACTGAGTTTTCTGAGACCAGTCGTTGGCCTTATGCGTTTCGACGTAATCTGGAGTACAGAAATCCGTGAGAGCCTTGGTGTACAGCTGCGGCATCTTTAGACTGAGGTTACAGCTGAGATGGTTTGCTTTCGTTTTTCCAGTGCTTCTAGAAAGAAAAGCTAAACAGCCACTACCTACCCAATCCAACCGACCGATCCTGCTCCAAATTCTTCAACTGGATCTTGTAATTAACTTCTCAGTGAAGAGATGTTCCATTTTCAGAAGCTCTCACTGTTCTTATGTGACCTTATCTGACGTGCAGTAATGGCATCGCTCTGTCAGCTTTCTTCCTTCAGAATGGATAACGACTCCCTAAGTGCTTTGCGTAAGTGAAGGGTAGTTATTATTAGTGGCAGTGTGTCTAAGACTAACTTTTTTAGTATGCGTAGGTTATTATTGAGTAGTAATATCTGTTTCCGTTCTTATTACTATGGCAGTCGGCTGAGATCTGAATGAAACATCTGATTTTTTGCTGAATGGCGCTATTCCGTTCCCACAGTTATTTCTGTATAGTTTTAACTGCGGTCTGCAACTTTATGAGCATATAAACTGATAATACTGACAATGGTAAATAGTACTGTTTTAATTTAGGGAACTTTTCGAGTTAGCCGTTCTAACTATTTGGAATCGTATGTCGAATATTCGAAGGAAGCGTGTGATGTACTAGTGTACGGAATGAAAGACAGAAATCGTGCGTTCAACATGGACATTGTGGCTGTAAGACTAAAGGACAGAAAAGACTGGAAGGTATACTGGTCGGCTGCTGTGTTAATTTTGCTAATGAACGGTATGCAGTTGGGCTCTTTTTTACGAATTTTAGATGCATGATCTTTTAGTCGTCACAGACTGTGCGAAATGAAGCCCAGCCTTCATCTTGTCTGAGAAATCTCCTTTTCGCATTTTCCTTGCATGTATTATTTAAATAGCTGTGGAAGGAGGTATCGATTCATTGCCTGCTTGGATAATAATTAATGATCCAGTGTATCATTATTGATGTATTATTATAAAATTTTCCTTCCTTGTCTCGTCTCTGGTTTCTCTTGAGAAGAGTTCACAGAACCAACACCCGTGCTCTTCTTTTATAGTCACACAGTCAATTTTGATTACCTCGATCTTGTTTTCAGGTGCTCCGTTCTGCCTTAACGAAACAAACCAAACAGCATTCTTTGAATGGACATGACTCAGGAACAAACGCGCGGTTGGCTACTTCCGTCGGTAAAATTTTCCGCTCATATTTTTGCAAACGTGTTGTGTTCTCTGCCGTCCTTATAATAATTCGCCGTTTCCGGCGTGAACGATAAAAAATCAATGCAGGCCAGTGTTCGTTAAGAAAATGGTTCAGGAGTGATTCAAACGATGCAATAAACTTTGCTTTAGCTGCTCAGGGCCCACCAGATACGTCGTGTGCTGAAGAAGGTATGGAATCGATGTCCGTCAGTGCCAAGCTGTCCTTCAATGGTACATCTTACGGAGTTGATAATGTACTGTCCGATGATTTAGATCTTCGTGGAGATATTCCTCAGCGTTTTGGTAATCACAAAGGCAATAGGAATTATTGTTCTCTACCGTACTTGCGCCTCGGCGATGTTGACGCATCAGACGAGTCACAGATCAGATTGCAACCGACCGGCGAAGTATATTCCCTTATCTTTAGAGCATATGAAAAATATTCATTCATCGGTTCCATTTCAGGTTGTGTTTATTTTTGAGAAGGTTCACAGCAGGATATGCTCAGGAATTTTAAAGCATTACAATGAAACGTATGCACTTTTCTCTCCAATTGATTCCCGAATTCCGAGAATGCTCATTGACCGAACTACTGATGCGTTCAGTGAAATTGTTCGCACCCCTGAGATGTATCATTCATATCTCTTTGCAGTTATGGTCAAGAAATGGACAGAGTATCATAAGTTACCTTTAGCGTAAAAAATCGCGTGTACAGTCATGACGTTTATCTAATTTGCTTTCTTTCAGCGTATTGTGGAAAAGTATTGGTTTGGTAGGAAATATCGAAACCGAAATCAATGCAATTGTCTGTGATCTAGCAATAAAAGCAGATGCGTTCTCGGAATCTTTGACCTCTAACCTCGTCGACTATGTTGTGGATAACGAGTTATCTATTCCGGCAGTAAGAAAAGCGCTTTTTGATTTTTTATTTATCATTTTTAGCACTATCTACCTTTTTTGATGTCGTAATAATTAACTCTGCTAATTGCTGTAAAGCTGAGTTTATCATGAACCTATTAACACAGATATTTCTACTTCAACTCATATTTATTTAAATTATAAGCGGTTTGTAGCTACAGCTTTAAAAGACAGCGCCCTATAGCCATGTAATGATCATTTCTGTAAGAGGAAATAAAGCATATTGAGTTAACCTGAGGGAAATAACAAAATTATCCAGTTAAATTCATTAATATTTTCTTAGGTTCATATCGATACCATGTCGTAGATGACTTGAGGGCGATATGGTTTCTGATTCTGTAGTTGGTAGCACGAGAAAACATGATAAAATAGTTTTATTTACAACAATTGCAACGTTTGAACCGAATTTTATCGGTCATCATCAGGGAATGAACATGAAATAACGACAAACTGCTGAGGCAGTTGGTAATTGACCCGATTGGCTGGACGCTAGCTAGGTCTCTTATTAAGCCATGAATCATGCTCCACGCCACAGAAATGCCAATGGAGCCATCCCACCCGTTGCAAGTTTCATTTTTACCGGCAGCAGTGCATAGCGACCCCTTGCTTAATAATTTCAGCTTGTCCTGGTGTCGATCGACAACGGTTACATCGCTGTTGTTATAATCTTGACCATTTTCCAGGGCATGAACAGCCAAACCGGTACCTGCTGAATCTTCTGTATTCTGCTAATCTGATTTTGAACGCTCAACAGATCTTCTCAATATATATCCGGTCTGTATGCTATTTTGAACAGATGTGATGTTATGTTGCATTGCTATATTACTGTATGCTAAAGTTTGTACCTGTAGGCCTGTTTCGCGAACGTATTTTATTTACCATGATAAATAGCGGTCTTTTATAGGTTGAATTAAAAAATAGACGGGATTTCCGAAATGAACTGGTGTTCACAATTGACCCCAGTACTGCAAAGGATCTTGATGATGCACTCCATGTCAAAGTTCTCGATGATAAATTAATTCAGGTAAAACCGGTTCGAGCTAGTCTTATTTTTAATCAAGCGATTTTTTTTTAAAGTGTGTGTGTGTGAGAGAGAGAGAGAGAGAAGCGAGAAGGTACTGTTTGGGCGGTGTAAAATCCCGATGGCGAAGTTTTTTTTATATAATTTCTTAGTTTAACATACCTGACGGTTTGTAAGGCAGTCTATTCGACAGAACTCTGCCTTAGTCACACTGGTTTGGCGAGGTATGATCTGACTATCGTGATTCGCCGGTAGATCTCTTCCTCCCGTTTTTCATTGCCAGTAAACAGGACACGGGGTACGTTAGCATCTTCTCGGCCTGTTCCACTGCTTCTACGTTTGGCTTCATACCGCGACTGGCGAGAGAAGGAGAAAGTGCTAAGCTTTTCGTTTTAGATGCGTTCACATGCATGCCGGTCACGTCGCACTCGGCTGTGACCCTTCCAAGAGAGCGCTGGAGATCAGTTTCAGAAGATGCCTACAAAGCAAGGTCGTCTGCAAACAGCAACCTTCTCTCTTTAAAATTTTTTAGTCTAAAACAGTTGTCGTCCTGCTTGCGCCTGACTCATATCCATGTACGACACAAACAAAGAGGAGACAGAACTCCCTCTTGGCGGAGACCAGTGCCAACTCTGAAATGCCTCGACTTAACGCCATTTACTCTTTAGCAGCATCTGCAAGCAGCGTATAGTGACTGGATTGCCCTTAGCAACTGGCCGTCGATCCCATATGTTTGCAGGCATGTCCATAGATTATTGGCGGGATCCGGTCATTGGCGTTTTTAAGGTCTACGAAGCACATGTTAACTGAATGAGCGAAATCCACAATTTCTCAACAGTCTGAGAAATTGATCATAACTGCTTCGACCGGAGCGAAAGTCATCCTGTGCTTTGTTTTCGGATTCGGATGTTCTACGGAACTTCATTTAAAATTTCAACTTCGTTACGGAATTTCATACCTTTGCATCGACTTTTCTCGGGAAGTCAGGAAGGTAATACAGCGATAACTGGAGCTATGCTATGATCTACCTTCTTGAACATTGGTACTACTATCCCTGTTCTTCAGTCTCCTGGTGTTCTCTCCGTAGTCATTGCAAGATCTTTAATATTTCCATGATGGTAGTTATTTGTCATGATTCTCTTATTAAGCTTATAATGGAGCGTTCGTGCCCATTTCGATTCCATCAATCGAGTCTCGTGTATTGGCATTTATTTATCTCTGTTTGAAAAATAAAAGGCAAGTTACCTGGACGGCATTCGAAGCACGAAACTTCGACTTTGAGGTCGCTCTGAAATGATATATGATGTTTTAGTGGGTGAGCCGCTCTGAGTAAAACAGATTATTAATGATCGCTACTATATTTAGAAAGAAATGTAGAGAAATGTATATTGAATTTTTGCAGGTTGGAGTACACATCGCGGATGTATCTTACTTTGTTAAAGCTGAAAGTGCACTTGACGCGGAGGCATGCACACGCGGAAACAGTGTTTACTTTGTGAACAAGGTGAGCCAGTAAGTGATCAGAAAGTTTGCTTACTGGAACTTCTTTAGGTAATTCCGATGCTACCGCCGCTGCTGTGCGAGCAACTGTGCAGCTTAAACGCCGGCTCTGAACGCTTGACTTTCAGCGTCGTTTTTGCGATGAACGCTGAAACAGCTGAAATTGTAGACACGTGGTTCGGTAGAACCATTATTAAATCCCATGCTCAGTTATCCTACGAAATTGCTCAGGTAACTTTTGTTGTCAGAACTAAAATCTTGCTTCTGTCAGTTCAGTTTGCAACATATTCGGTTTCCTGGTACTATACTTTAAGTCTTCGAAATAATTGCTAATGCTTTGTTCGATGTCGAAGCAGATGACCAAATTTGCGATGTCTTTTCCCGTTTATAAGTTTTCTGATAGTAATTCATTTATGTATTACGCCTCGCATTCGAACTAGTTGTCACTTAGATGTCAGCTACCTGATAGATGTAAGTTCGATTGTGCCGATTAAATGGTCTTTCTTCGATTTGCCCACTGCTTTTTGAAGCTTTGGATTTTCACGCGTTTTGCCTTTAGGAATATGTAGCTACAGTACAGGGATTACTTTCATGGGATTTGGAAATCTTCAGAGATTAACTGAAACTAGTGTCTGAATTCTGTCATTTTCGTTTAAAAGACATGGCCTTGCGTGTTGCACAGTTAGGTTTTCAGATGGCATCCGCAATATTTGAGGTAGCGGCACGTGCCAATTTAGAAGCTTGTTGCTATTCTTAGAATTGAACCGCAAACTGTTTCAATGACGGTAGACAGCGTGTTGCATTTCGCACTATATTTTTTTGATGCAATGCAAAATCAGGTATCAGATTTGCTCTGGCGGTCATCTCTAACCGCATGCTTTGTAAGTACGCTAGCTGTAGTACTCTTCTTTTCTCTAGTAAGTTACCTTTAACAAGGTTCCGCTAATCGAGTTAACGTCCTCCATATTTTTCTGCCGTTGTTTAGTGACTTCAGTGATCTTCAGTGACTCCTCACTGTTTCATATCATTCTCGACGACGTACGACCTTCGATCTTCCCCTTCATTTCTTCCTTGGCAGTATCAGTGCTCGAGCCACATTTCCAACGCATTCGATTAGTCTTCTTTTCACGTGCCCGAACCAGCGGAGCTTGTTTTCGGTGAGTTTTTCTGAAATTGGTGCTACTCCTAGAGTGCTTCATATGAAGCTGTTTCGGGTGTGGTCTTTTTTTGCTGACACCACGTCTATCTGAGCATTCGCATTTCTACCGAGTTCAGCTGTTGCTCGTGTCTCTTCAAGGTCGCCTATCATTCCGCTCCCTGCAGAAGTACCGGTCTTAATATCATTCTGTACACTTTTAAGTTCAGTTCGATAGGCATCTTTTTGTCGCATATTATTCCGCTCACTTCCCTCCATTTGAGCCAAGCCAAGCTATTTTTCGACCGATTTCTTATATCGCTGTCGATTTCCGCATTATTTTGCAGGATAGAACCAATGTAGTTGAATTCTTTGGTTTGAGGCAGCACACTCCCCTCCACCAAACTCTTTCACTGGTTTAACGGTGATCAAGTTGTTTTCCTCACTGAAATAGCCGATATATAGCCCAGCTCGCCATATATTCAAACTTGCTTTTGCTGAGTCGAAAGCCGTTCTTCTCAAGGGCTGTTCTCCATTCCTCGGGTTTTGCTCCTACTGCTCCCCTGCTTCCGCTGCACAGCACAATGTCATCTGCATACAGCATGTAGTGTGAGGCTGCTTCATGCAGATTCTTAGTTATCACGTCTATCGCCATCGAGAACAGAAATGAGCTCAGTGGATTGGTGGATTCCTACCCGCACAGGGAACTCTTCCGTTTAACCACATATACTTCGAACTATCTTTGTGACTCTGTCCTACATGTCTTTAGTAAGCCTGGCATATTATTAGGCTTCCTTCTAATGCTCCACCAGATTGCTTTGCATCTGACTTCGGTCAAAAGCTTTCTCCAGGTCTAGGAACACCATATGCATGTCCTGTCTGTCTCTATGTATGTTTCGAGAACTGATCTTAAAGGAAGGTGGCATCCGTGGTTGACGGGCCTGGCATAAAGCCAAACAGGCTCGTGGTGATGTCCTTCTACAGTCATTTGTTCATTACCCTCTCGTATAGCTTCGTGGTGTGTCTGTGCAATTTAATTCCCCTGTGGTTTTCACAAGCCAGTATGTCTCCTTTCATTTTGTACATTGGCACCAAAATACTCTACTTCTTCTGTTCTGTCATTTTCTCAGATTCAATAATTTTGTTGAATAGCGCGCAGAGCCAAACACGCCTTTTTGCCCAAAAGTTTTCCATGCTTCTGTGGGAACTCCGTCCGGACCAGATGTTTTTCTATTCTTCAGTTTGCTCTAGGCGTGTTCCACCTCCTCAGGTGAGATCTTTTCGATTAGACCCTGGTTTTGTGGCATCTTTTCCGCGGCCTCTTTGAGCTGTTCTTCATTTAGTAGCGGTTGGAAGTGCCCAGTGCCTGCTCCATCAGTTGCGAATATATTTTCTCGTCGGTCAGTACCATTCCGCTTTCATCTTTAATGCACTTCACCCTTCCGATGTCTCATGTTCTTCTTTATCTGGCTTTTACTATGCGCTTGATGTCCTTCTCACCTTCCTTCGTTGCCATTTTTTATAAGCTCTTGCACGCTGTAGACTTTGCTTTGGCGGCGACTTTCTTAGTCTCCCTCTTTAATTTAGCATATTTTACTCTTTAATTTCTTGAACAGCTCCTTCTATCGTAGGTTCGCCTGCACGTCGTGCACGCCTGCCTGTTCATCTGCATTTCACCACGTTTCTTTCAGGATATATGTTGTGCCTTTTGTTTCACCGACTAGACCTTTAGCATTCTTTGTGACTCTACTGGCCACCCGCTTCCATATTTCGTCAGCTTTCCTGTTGCAGTATTCCTTCGTCATTTCGTCTTGTAACTTCCATTTTGTGAACGCGTCTTTCAGCTTACCTTCGAGCTTCCACCACTGTCCTCCGAGTAGTCGCCCTGCCCCCTCTGAATGGACTGTTCAGAGTCGTCTAGGACCAGTAGCTGGTGCTGGCTTGTGACAGTTTCCCTGGAGATAACTTTGTAATCTCTGACGTTCTTAATTGTGTTCCCTTGGAGCAGCAAGTAGTCGATCTTGTTTTTCTTCGAGCGGCTCTTGTAAATTAGCAGGCGGTTTTCTCGTTTCTGAAAGAGCGCGTTTGTCAGAGCCAGATCATATGCAGCAGCCATCTGCAAGATGTTCTCTCTTTTATCTAATATACCATGTCCATGTCCGCCATGGATCCTGTCGTAACCGCTTCGATGTTTCCCGCCGTGCCCGTTAAGGTCGTCCCCCATTACTACTTTTTCGTTGTGCGTTATATTTTGCAGTTCAAGGCAAGGCGCTCTTCTAGAATGTTTACGTTTTGGCTTCATTCTGACAGTCTGAGGGGCGTAGTTACTTTTTATATTTAACATACTACTTTCCAAAGTTGGCATAACGCCTATGATTCTCTCGTTAATTCGGTTGACTTCGAATAACCAGCCTTTGGTTACTTCATTCAATATTCCTTCAACTCCATTTCTTCTTCTTAATGTTCCACAGCAAATGACTTAGCCTAGGCCAATCTCTTTCGACTTCTTGCCTTTCCATTTCGTCTTTTGAATAAAAACAAACTGAATTTTTCTTCTCTGGAAAACTTCCGCTAGCTCCATCCCCTTTTCCGTCATTCGAAAGTAGATATTCGTATTTTCTCGCTTCGTTTTCGGCATGTAAATCTCTCCCTTTGCCATTTTCGATGTCGCAAGAACTGGTCTCTCGCTCATTTCTCACAGCCGTTGTGATTTGCTGCTGCGCGTCACCCATGGGGAACGCCCTAGAATTCTTTGTAGAGGCAAGTTGATTCATCATATTTGGCCTTTGCATTGGTTTTTAAGGCCTGCTGCCTGCCTGACGCCAACCTATCGTTCTCGACCGGGCTGGGAACCAGCTACGGCTCGTTGGAGTTACCATATCGAAACACCTACCGCTCAAGTTTAGTTTGGATTTGTTGCTTTTGTACTAATTTCTAGATAGACTACATTTAATGTGTGGTAAATTCCCTCAATTAAGAACCCTTAGCATACGTTCGTAAAGTTTGAATTCTTCTGGATTTTAATCTAAAACTTTTAAATTGTGCGGCGAATAAAATGACTCAAGATCATTCATGCTTCTTTGTATTCCTTCTAGATTTTCTAATGAGTACTTTGGGTTCAGGAATTTTTCATTATTGTAATATTATAGCAATTCATCGATGAACCGGAACGAGAGTGGACTGCTGACGACGTACCACTTGTTGATGGGTCTTGGACAGTACGAGACATTGCTGTCGCAGTAAACACGTTGAACAAATTGGCTATCATGTTGAGAAAAAAGCGCATCGCGAATGGCGCCTTGATGCTCGATGAACGGAAGTTAAACTTCGTTGTTCAGGAAAAGTTAGGAGAGCCCGTGGCGTGCAACATCGGCACATCGAATGACAGCAATCGCTTAATCGAGGAATTCATGCTTTTAGCGAATATTGCTGTCGCAGAACACCTTTATCGGGCGTTTCCAAAGACCAGCGTTCTTCGTCGCCATCCAGTACCAAAAGTGCGCAACTACTTAGATATGGTAAGCAGAACAATTATTTGTCTGTTAAAAGTATCGTTGTTAAGAAAGTAAATGATATTTTGCATCGTCACCTCTGAGAAGTGACCTATACGAAGATGTAGCGTTCAATAGTTAAAGTCAGTGCATCCTTCTCCTACATAAAGTGTGCCGCCCAAGAAAAGATGGGTTTCAACGTCGCAGAATGAGCATCTACCTTACGTCCAAAATTTCAGGACGTTTCCTCTATATAGTGCTCGAAGAGATGTTGATTTGTTATAGTGCCCATATTGCGCAACGTTTTAATTTTTCCGGTCTAACTGTATGCTACTGGAAAACTTTAATCACGGAACTGGAGTAAACATTGTGCTCAGTTAAATAACCTGTTCTAAGAATTTGCCTGTTGTTCGACTGTAGGGCCATATTGAATTCAATAGACAGCAGGCATAAAGTATTGAAACAACTAATTTTATTTGAATGTGATAGCTGTTCAGTGACTGACCCAGTGTGACTTTTGCACTTCCTTTCTGAGATAACTTTATGGGTACTAAAATCGAATTTCGTAGTATATAATCACGGAATTACAAATAAACGATCGTCTCCGTCATTCTTTCGCCAAAGTCTGCGCGATTTTGGTACATTAGCGCGAATACCTGCTCGCATAAATGGTGGCCTTATCACATAAATATAGATATTAATCTTAAGGCAGGCGTTAAGTAAGCATCATTCCATAAATTGTATAGAAAAGTCAATACACTGCGGACCAGTCGCTTCTAACTGAGCTTCTAGCTTTTCTTCGTGAGGAGGCTTAAAAGCGCGGTGTAACAACTGTTTATCTTTATATTCTTGCGTGAAGTCCCGTAAGCGTTTGCTAAATACTTATTTAAGGAGATTTTCTTATAAACATGCACAGTGGAAGGTAACACCGTAGATTCAATTTAATCAAAATATAATAAAACGAGATATCAGCTGATGGATTGTGAACTTGTCAGACTAGTCATTAGCTGAGGTCGAGACCTTTGCATTAAAAAAAGGATTGATGCTTTCAGTTACAGCAGCGGTCCGTCCAACAAATCCATGCCCTTTATCCAAAACGGATTGTAGCATGCAAGCATAAATGGTATCTGTTATCGCGGAATGCAGACAAATTTCAAACAGACCCCATATTTGGATAATGTCTTTTAACAGTGTCTTTGTGCAATGCTTCCTTGTTCAAGATTTTGATTGCTTAGCGAATCGTGATCGCAGTTAAGTCCAAATCAGCGATTAGACGATATCTTGGAAGCGGATGTGCCAGTGATCGTAATACTTTGAAGCTGAAGCCTAGCATCCCAGGTTATGCTTGTAGAGTGTAGGTCCGAATAATGCA